ACCCCCAGCAGCGCCTCTGTGTCGGCCCAGCTGAAGCCTCGCTGGCTGCTCCAGGGTGCACGGGCAGACTGGGAGCACTGGGAAGGGGCCCCGGCTCGGGGCGCAGCCCCCGGGGCAGCCCCACGGCCCCCACGGCAGCTCCAAGGCTCCTCCAGCCGGGATGGAACGAGGGAAGGGGAGCAGGGAAGGGATGGGGCTGCCGGCACCAAGGGGACATGAAGGACAGCGGGGGCTTGACAAGCATTTAATATAAAAATAAGAAAATGCAGTGAATAACAACAGCAGTAACATTGGTAGCACAAACACTGATGGGGGTCACACAAGGCCATTTCAGAGAATCCTCTGAGCTGGAAGGGTCCCACAAGGATCCAGCCCAGCTCTGACCATGAAATCAAATCCCAACCTTGGCATTATTGGCAATTTAGCCTAACCAAGGTCCCATTCCTATGGCAGCACATCTTTCAGGGCTGTACGCACAGGGATATGAATCTATACATAGAAACAGAATCAGTGTAGAAACACAAAGTGCAAGAGAAACCACTTGAGCTCAGAGATGGTTCCAGGAGAAGAAAGAAATCCCCAGCCCAGGCAACCACACAGCAGCTTACACATTGTCTCCTCCTCCCACAGGTTCATCACTTGCTGACAGGCACCAAGGGGACACTGAGAGCAGGCACTGAGATGACCCTAAGGTAGATGCTGTGACTGAGGAAGGACATCCCTGTGCTGTGGGGAAGAGGAGAAGCGGAGAGTGCCCAGCATGTAGAAGGTCCTTTCTCCATCCCATCTCATCCAAGGTGAGTTTGGGGTCTGCTGCAGACATAGGGCATCGGATTTGAGCAGGGAGCACTCCTGAGTTTATCCTCAGCCAGGAACACACACCCTGCATTGCCCAGGACAGGAACCCTGCAGGGAGGAGCAGAGACAGCGCTGGAACCAAAAGGGGGACACCTGGTGCCCCTGTGCCCCCCATCCCCTGCCTGTGCCCCCAGGACTCACGAGGAGTTGAAGCTGCTGCCATCCCCCCACTGCAGCTCCCGGCCCCGTCTGCGCAGCCCGACCCAGTAATCGACCCTGGCACTGTGAGGGAAGAGGAACCCCTGGGAAGGAGAGAGGAGCYGGCACTGGGAGCTGCACCCCCAGCCCAGGAGACCCCCAGGCTCCCCTCGGCGACTTCACAGCCCCCAAAGCCCCTCACTCACCATTTCCCAGTCCTGGAGCACGGCCAGGGAGGCCCCGAGCTCAGAGCACCGAGCCTGGGCCTGATCCCAGCTGAGCTGATCCCTCGAGAGGAAGTAGCAGATCCCGCGGTGCCCGACCCAGTCATGGGGACAGGCCAGCAGCACTGGAGTGTCAGCTGTTACTGGAGTAACTGGAGTCTCTCTGTGCCCTCCCCCTGCAGAGGGAAGAGAAGCTCTGAGGATTCCCCTCCACAGGGAGCAGGGACCCCACTCTGCCCCAGGGGCTGGGCCGAGGCAGCTGCCCCTCCCTTACCTGACACAACAGCCAAGGGCACCAACAAAGCCAGGAGCAAGAGCAGGAGCAGAGCCAGCACCAGGGTGAGCAGGGGATGGGATCTGATCCACTCGACTGCAGCTGGAAAAGCAGGAAAGAGCCACTGGCTGTGAGGACAGGGCTGTCCTAAGCAAGAAGGAACCCCCCAGCCCATGAGCCCCTCACTCTGCTGGCAGCAAGGGAGTCACAGAACAGGGACAGAGCCAGGGACAAGGGACAGCCATGGACACATCATGGGCACAGCTGACAGAACTGCCCAGGGCCCGGGGTGCCAATCCCAGCAGAGCACGAGGCCCCTTCCAGATCCCTGGGAACAGCCYCAGCCCTGCCAGCCCTGTGCTCTGGGTGACACTGTCCCCTCCCTACAGATCACACAGGTGGCCCTGCACTCATGCAGGAATCCTCTCAGGGTCTTTCTGTGTGTGAGTCCCGTTGCTGATCCATCCTGGCAATCCTGGGGCTCCTCTCCAATCCCATCCCTGGGGCAGGGCTCACTCTGCTCCAGCACAGAAGCAGCTTCTCCCTGCCTGTGCCCAGCAGGATCCTGAACCTGAGGCAGCTCTGTCCCCCTGGCTGCTGATCCATCCTGGGGACCCAGGGCAGCCTCGGCAATCTCAACAGCGGCTTTGTCCTTCCTTGGCCTCATTTCAGTCTCACAAATCAAATCACTCAGCTTGCATTCAGCAGGATCTGGCATCCAAGGCAGCTCTGTGTATTCTGACCTGTCCTCAGCACACAGGGACTCCTCYGTAGTCTCATAGTTGGAGCCATAGCCACTCTCCTGACTTTGACTCCCTGCAGATGTACAACTGTCATGGTTCTGATCCTCATCGAAAGGATCTTGCACTCGATGGAAGTGCCCAGCAGCTTCTACATCACTGGGGCAGAATCCCTTCTCCGTGTCTTGAATCCCTGCCCACTCAGAAGACATCATGGTCTACATCTACCGGTCCTCCATGGTAGGAAACTGTCCGGGGGATGGGGCCGTCACCCGGTCCCACCAACGGGAACAGGGACGAGTCAGCGCTGCTCCGGCACGGGCTCCTGCCGAGGCATCAGCGGGAAGCCGATCCGTCAGGTCAGGGCGAACACGGCAGAACGAACACCCCCAGGCGCCCTTCACCGCAGCCGCCTCCGCCCTCAGCGAGCCCCGAGCCTCGGCACAACCGAGCGCGGCTCCACCTGCGCTGGGGCCGCCTCCGAGCTCCGCCGCCGCCTCAGCGGGATCCAGTCATTGCCGCCGCTTGCGGGGTTCTAGAGAATCTCCCGAGCCAGTGCCAAGCCTGTGCCGAGTCGAGAGATGCGGCGTGGAGCGGACCAGGATTGTCCCTCAGCCCCACTCAGATCAATCAGCGTGCGAGAAGAAGGAGTGGTGGAGAAATCAGTCAATGGGAGCGCGGGGCGGGCCTGGGCGCGGCACGGAACCACGCCCCCTTTTCCTTCCTCTGATTGATCCATTGTTTTGCTTGTTTGAAAAGTCGGATGAGGAACTCCCCGAGGATGTCCGGTGCGGGCACAGAGCCGGGGCTTTTTCTCCACCGCCTTTTCCGAGAAACCGCCGGAGTTCGGGAAAAGAGCGAGGGCGGTTCCGTGCCGCGTGCCAGGCCCACCCCTCGCTCCCATTGGCCAATTTCTCCCGCCACGCCTCCTTCTCGCGTGCTGATAGGGCGATCCTGCCCCGTCCCACGCCGCACTTCGCACATCGATAGCGGCGCGTGTCCGGAGCCCGGCGAGCGGCGGCAGCGAACAGAGCCCGGGATGTGGCGGCGGAGCTCCGAGGCTGCCCCAGCGCAGGTGGGAGCCGAGCTCGGAGCTCGCTGCGGGCGGAGGCGGCAGCACTAAAGGGGGCCTGAGGGTGTTTGTTCTGCCGTGTTCATCCTGAGCTGAGGCAGCGGCTTCCCGCTGATATCTCGGTAGAAGCCAGTGCCGGAGCAGCGGTCCCTGTCGGTAGGACAGTGGCGGCTGCGCCATCCCCGGTACTGTTCCTGGCTATGCGGCAGCGGGCTGGGACTCACATCGGGTACCGGGAGGTGCCCAGGGCTGGAATGGGATTAAGTTGAACTACCCTTACAACCAAAACCACTCTGGACGAGAAGGAGAGCGGCGGTTAGTGGTGATGGGAAAGAACTTCGTCCCACCCGGTTTCCCGGGGCTGGAGCCATCCGAATTTTGCTTTCCCTGCCAGGAGCCTGCTCTTGTTCCAAGTCAGGGACACAAAGCGACGATGCCAGGGCAGGAGATGCAGGGGACAATCCTGAGCCCCCTCAGGGCTGCCGCTTCTTCCCCCTCGGGACGCTGAGCCCGACCTGCAGCAGCGGCAGAGCCGGAGGGGGCCGGGACTGAAGGGACTGGGCCGGCTCGGGCCCGGAGCTCCCGGAGGCTGCGCTTGTGTCCCGCAAGTGCTGCCGCAGCGTCCCCGGGGAGCAGGGACAGGGCAGGGCTGAGCTGCACCGCCTTCCTGAGCCTGGGGGAACCGTGGGACGGGGACCAGCTGGGCCCTTTCGTCAAGGTATTTTCAACCTGCGATCATCGCGGTTGTCAAACCGTGCCCAATCTGCGAGTGGCTTTTTCACCATGTGCTCAAGCCATGTGCTCCGTGTTCCTAGCACGACTTGCCGGCTCTGTGCTGGGGAAACGGCAATCCGGCTGCATTCATGGGCTTCTGAAGAAACTTTATTTTCTCCAGAGTGGATCACCAGGCGAGGCGACCGACTTGCCTCGGGCACAAGAAGCGGCTTGCCTTAAGCAGGAAGGTGCCACCGGTGACAGTGCAGCGAGTGAAGGTCCGGTGAAAGGATCCTGCACCAATGATGGAAGTGTGAGGGAGCTGCTGGGTCCCCGGAGCAGATCAGCAACCAGGAATAAACAGGAAAGAGCCCTCATGGGTGAGTGCAGAGCCAGTGCTGTGGCCTGTAAGGAGGGGACGGTGTCACCCCAGGAGCACAGGGCTGGGGCTGTCTCCAGGAGTTTGGAGGAGACCTCGTGCTCTGCTGGGCTCCAGCAGTGGCCGGGACCAACACCCCTGGTTTCCTCCAGCCCCGGAAAGTTTTGCTGCTGCAGGCTGTGCCCTAGCCCTGGGTGTCCCTGTCCCTGGTCTCTCCTGTTTGCAGTGAGAGAGGGGCTCACAGACTGGGGGGTGCCTTCTGTGCTCCTCGAATGTTGGCGGGGGATGGGAGRGCTGGGTCTGCTCAGCACAGCCCTGTCCTCACAGTGAGTGGCTCCTTCCTCCTTTTCCAGCT